TTTTTCTTTAAATATATCTTTATTGACTTCAGAGAGAGGAAAGGAGCGGGAGAGAGAGAGAGACAGAAACATCAATGATGAGAGAGTCATTGATCAAGCCCACAACCCGGGCATGCGCCCTGTCCAGGAATCGAACCCCGATCGCCTGGATCCCAGGTCGACGCTCAACCGCTGAGCCAATTCTTGAAACACCACTTTGAGTAACAAAGAATGAGAATTAAAGTTTAGAGAAAGAAACTGAAATCTTTCTCCCCATTTTACCCAGTGCCCCCACATTCCACTAATTTAAGCCTATGATCCTACTCCCCACAAGCATAGCTCTAAAGGACAGGAAGAGCAGTAAGAAAAGGGTGGTCTTAAAATGGGAAAAAAACTATGGAGATGAAAAAGAAAAATGCTTTTCCTCCCACCTTCTAAGCCTTTCTAGCTGTAATATTAATCAAATTAACAAAAAGATTGCCCAGCAGTGTGGTTCAATGGTTGAGCGTTGACCCATGAAAGAGGTCACGGTTCAATTCCCAGTCAGGGCACATGCTCGGGTTGTGGGCTCCAACCCCAGTAGGGAGTGTGCAGAAAGCAGTCAATCGATGATTCTCTCTCATCATTGATCATTTCTATCTCTCTCTCCCTCTCCCTTCCTCTCTCTGAAATTAATAAAAACATATTAAAAACATAAATTAGCCCTAGCCAGTTTGGCTCAGTGGTTAGAGTGTTGGTCTGTGGACTGAAGGGTCCCAGGTTCAATTCCGGCAAGGGCACATATNAATTCCAGCAAGGGCACATATCTCTGTTGCAGGCTCAATCCCTGGCCCCATGTGGGAGGCAACACATCGATGTGTCTCTCTCACAGCCATGTTTCTCTCTACCCCCCTTCCACTCTCTCTAAAAAGCAATGGAAAAAATATCCTTGGGTGAGGACTAACTAAAAAATAAAAATAAATTAATTTAAAAAAACAGACTGCCCGGCCGGGCATGGCTCAGCGGTTAAGCATCGACCTAGGATCCAGGCGATCAGGGTTCGATTCCCGGTCAGGGCACATGCCCGGGTTGCGGGCTGCAGCCGATCAATGACTCTCATCATTGATGTTTCTATCTCTCTCTCTCCCTCTCCTTTCCTCTCTCTGAAATCAATAAAGATATAGTTTAAAAAAATAAATTAAAATTAAAAAATTTAAAAAATTAAAAAACAGATTAACATGAGACAATCAAATTTTAATATGTTGGCACAGGGAATTCACCTACTCAAAAATTCCAAAGACAGCGAGGTAACACTGGGTATATATATCATTTTGGACAAAAGAGAAAGAGGGCAGGGGGAGGGTCTGAGATTTCAAAGGAAGCAGGCAATTTACTGGTAGTTGAGGAAGAACCACCTAGAAACAATGAGACAAGACCCAGGGAATAATCTAGTAGACAGGCCCCTGCTTGGGGTGCTTTCTTATCTACCTTACTTAATTCAAATTAGTCTGCTTAAGAGAACATCCTAAAATTTCCTTACGCCTTTCCCTCTGAATCTCTTACGCAGGAAAGGGGGGAGGGTCAAAGCTTCTTTGAGTCTTTTGTTTCTTAATAACCAGCTTAAAATCAATATCCCAAAAAGCAAAACTTTTGTACCCTTCAAAACACTACTGGTTCAATCAAAAAAATCAAACCTAAGTAATTTTTATCTCTCCTTTAAAAAGTTCAGCAATTTATCAAAGTATCTGTCTTCTAACCAATTGCCTTCTAAATCCAGTTAGAATATTCTTGACCCCATTGTAATTAGCTAGTTAATAATAGGAAAGGAGAAAAGGGAAGGCCAGATATTATAGGAAAGTTATTTGGGCAGCTTCACTAGGAAGCTGCAATTTCACATTCCCCAAGGAACCACCAGCCATTCCCAGTCAAACATGGAGGAAAGTGGTCCAACAAGGGGAGACAGACACATGCTCAGTGAAGTTGGGATGGCTTAGGGAAGAAGACTGTCAGTCACACCTAGAACAGAGGTCACTGGCCAGAGTAGGCAGAGCCACTGCAAGCACGTGGAAATTTGGGAACACAATCCCCTAAACAACAGAGTTCACTCTCTTGTGACTCTTGGCTCTTGTTGCTCTAGGCTCTTGGCTCTCTTGCATTCGCCGTATGGCCCATGGCCATGCAATGAAATAATGGACTATAGCAGGAAACACAAGCTAAGCTAGCCTGATGCTGCATTGGACACTGTTCCAATATGGAATGGAAACTCTAGACATTGACCCTGATTCTAGTCCTACTGTAGCCACAGCTACACTTCTTCCTTAGTGGGGCGAGGAAAAATGGGACCTTGGAAATTCAGGAATTTAATTCCACAGAAATAAAGCTTTCTATGATATCTTATCCTCCCATGCAAGTCTCAGAAAATTCCTTTCCTCAGGATAACGCAAGAAATCCACCCCCATAAGCAACAGGTGGGGACGAGGACTTCTCCCCACCAGTAACATTCTCTTCCTTTACTAATTCTCCTCTATCCTTCTCATCTGCTTCTGCTCTTCTTCTATATCACTCAAAAGAATAAGGCAGTGAGACACCTGGAGCTCTATTATTCAGGAGCAAACATCAATAATTATCAAATGCTGGTCAGGCCATGAGGAATTCATATTTCACAGTAGTTTTCAAATTTTGTTCCATGGAACCAAAGAGCTGTATGTACTGCTAGTGGTCCATGAAGAAAGATAACCTTAGTGGGGCATCTGCTAGGTTTCATTTGTAAAAGTATATAACCCAAACACCTATTTCATTCATTACTCCAAACCTGAGGCAAAAAAAAAGTATAATATTACAAAAAAAAGTATAATATTACAAAAAATCAGTTCTAAAATTCTTACCCTAGAATATGTAATAGGTAGAGGGGAGAAAGGTGACAGTTTGTTGCATTTTAAAAAATGAGTTCCTCATCTTTTTTTTCTCTGATCAGTTGTTTATAATGCAAATCCTACAGGAAAAAAAAAAAAAAAACCACTGAAGTTTCTCAATAATTCCATTTTCATTTTTGAGAAGAACATGTATCTACTGTTGTTGGATAAAGTAGTATATAGATGTCAATCATGTCCAGTTGATGGATGGTGTGGCTAAGTTCAAACTTACTGATTTTCTGCCTGCTAGATCTGTCCATTTCTGATAGAAGAGTGTTGAAGTATCCAACTAGAAGAGTGCAACTGAGCCTGGCAGCATGGCTGAGCGGTTGAGCATCAACCTATGACCCAGGATATCCCGGTTTGATTACTGGTCAGGGTGCATGCCCAAGTTGCAGGCTCAATCCCCAGCCGGGGGCGTGCAGGAGGCAGCTGATCAATGACTCTATCATCATTGATGTTTCTATCTCTCCCTTCCTCTCTCTGAAATCAATAAAGATATATTTAAATATATATATAAAGAGTGCATTTGAGGTAGGCAGTTACACAGAAATGAATAGAGCAAAAACAATGAGCCAGGTATAGAAGGTCATCAGGGAAGAAAGCCCTGGGTACCTAGCAATGGGCAAAACTGGAATATCAAGGATCTCATCACCAGGGTAACATTTTCTCCCCTAGCATATCACTGGTCATGCAGTTGGGACCCTCCCTGACCTTTCCTCCCCTGGCATGTCACTAGTCATGCAGTAGGCCCCCTTGAAGGAAGATCAAGGGGCTGAAGAGTGGCTTCACGTGACTCCCATGCTGGCCCTTGCACAACCACTCTCTTAAGCATTAACCCCTAAGAATAACATCTAGGCCCTCAGTATGTTTCAGCTTCAGGCCAGAAAAGCAGCATAGCCAACAAGCAATAAAATGGCTGACCTCAGGACCAGTTGCATTGACTTATGACCCCCTGCCGGGGTGCTGACCAATCAAGTAGAAAACACAACCCTGAAAGGACATACCTGAAAAGCTGAATATTTTTACTGGGATCCTCCCAAGACCTCCAGATAAACACTCTCAAGAGGGAGGACCCAGTACAGCTTTCTCTTTGGAGCTCACCCATGCCTTTCCCCACCTCTTTCCCCAAAAAGCATTTTCCTTGCCTCTCTCTTTCTCCTAAGCTCCAAAAGCCCTTCTTTTGCCTCTGTAACTTGTTTCCTGAGCCCATTTCTTCTACCGCTCACTTCTTCTACCTCTGTGACTTTTCAAATAAACTTTCTCTTATAGTTTGAGTCTTGACTCTGAATTCTCAACTCAAGTACCAAGGTTGCTGAACCAGTCTGGTCGGACTCCACCAGTCTAACACCTATTATCATTCTGCTGTCAACAGAGTCATCTATTTCTCTTTACAATTCTATCAGTATTTTGCTTCATATATTTTGATAACCTACCATTAGGTGCATACAATTAAGAATTGTTATTTCTTCTTGAAGAATCGACCCTTTTATCATTGCATAATGCTTTTCTTTATCCTTGAAAATTTTCCTTGCTCTGAAGTCTCCCCTATCTGGTATTGAGTTAGTTACTCCAGCTTTCTTTTGATTAGTGGTATTGTTACCAGGGTTGGAGTTCTTGGTTTCCCCAAGATAGAAATTAAATGGATGCCCAGCCGGCATGGCTCAGAGGTTGAGCATCAACTTATGATCCAGGAGATCAGGGTTCAATTCCTGGTCAGGGCACATGCCTAGATTGTGGGCTGGATCCCCAGTGGGGTGTGGGCAAGAGGCAGCTGATCAATGACTTTCCCCCATCACTGATGGTTCTCTCTCTCTCTCCCCCCCCCTCCCTTCCTCTCTGAAATGAATAAAAACATATTTAAAAAAAAAAAATAGGAAACTCCAGAGAAATTTCCAGACATGTTTCTATTAAGCTTATCCTTGAGCACAAGGAAGGCAGCGCAGAGGAAAGGAAGGTCCTCTGAGCTAGCTCAGGAATCTAGCTCTGTTTGGCTGTTTTTAGAAGCTGGGGACAAAGTGAGCTTGCATGAAAGGACGGGCTTTTTGAAAAAGGCAGGCTTGTGGAATTGTCCATGTCAAGGTAGGAAAAGCAAGCAGTTAGAAAGGAGATAAAATTCTGCATTTTTTTTCTTTATTTTTTTTGAGGTGGGAGTGGAGGGGTGGTGACATTCTTGCAATTTGTTTATCCAAGTTTCACCTGGACTTAGGTTGGCTTCCTGGCCACCTGGTATTATTCCACTGCTGGGCCCAAATCCCTGTCTCAGAATATCTTCCTCCAGCCTTTTGATTCACTCAGACAGTCTCTGTCTTTTTATTAGTGAATTTAGACCACTGACATTTAAAGTAATTATTGATATATTTGATAAATATCTACTATATTTGTTATTGTTTTCTATTCATTGACCTTGTTCTTTATTGCTATCTTTTTCTTCCACTCTTTTTCTATCTTTTTTGGTTTTAATTGAAGATTATATATAATTCCATTTTCTCTCCTCAGCATGTCAGTTATAATTCTTTTTACGCTTTAATTGTTGTCCCAAAATTTGCATTATAAATTTATAATGAGTCCAAGTCCACTTTCAAGTAACACTATAATGAGACAGGCTACTAAGCCAGGACAAGCAAAATAGGGAAACTGAGACAGTTAGCTAAGCAGTTTACAGCCATCTAGTAAATCGCAAAATCCTATCTTCCCTAAACCAAGGACACTTAAGAGAAGATGGTTTAGCCCGGCCAGCGTGGCTCAGCAGTTGAGCATCAACCTATGATTCAGGAGATCACAGTTCAATTCCTGGTCAGGGCACATTCCCGGGTTGTGGGCTAGATCCTCAGTAGGGGGCATGCAGGAGGCAGTCAGTAACTTTCTCGTCATTGATGTTTCTATCTCTCTCTTCCTCTCTCTAAAAACAATAAATTTTTTTAAAAAAAGAGAGAAGACGGTTTATGACATTCCCCAACCAGAATAGATAGCTTAAATCACCCTACTCAGAGAGATAACAGAAATCTAGTTAGTCTCATTTGTCAATCACACTCTAGGCTCTCTCCTGTTTTTCTGTCCTAAGATCTTCCTTCTTTTCACTTTGTGCAGTTTTAATAACCATGGGTCACTCTTGCTACAGCATGCCCAGGTCTTTTTTTTTTTTTTATCCTCACCCAAGAATATTTTTCCATTGCTTTTCAGAGAGAGTGAAAGGGAGAGAGAGAGAGAGAAACATCGATGTGAAAGAGACACATCAACTGGTTGCCTCCTGCACACGCCCCAACCAGGGCCAGGGATCGAGCCTACAACTGAGGTACGTGCCCTTGGCCATAATCGAACCCAGGACCCTTCAGTCCACGGACCAATGCTCTAACCATTGAGACAAACCAGCCAAGACCATGCCCAGGTCTAGTATCTCTGCTCTCTTTCTCCTAAGGGTCCCCAGGAGACTTGGAACCAGAGGAGCAGCAGGTAGTGGCAGCTCATCCCAGGCATACCCCCTGACCCTGTCCCCATGGTCCCCTTTTCTCTGACTTCTTAGTGAGTCAAAGCAGCCCTGCCTATGCTCATTTCTCCACCTAGTCTCTCTCCTGTTGTTTCTTTTATCCTAGGCCCTTCCTTGTTTCACTGTTCCCAGCTTTAAGGTCCTCTTAAAAATCACCTGGACTTGTTTTGTGAAATCTTTCCTCCACAAAGTCCCACACACTACCGTCTGGCCCTAGGCAGACCCACTCAGGGCCAGGTCCCCTTTCAGGTAACATTTTCTGGCACATCAGATGGGACCTCCAGATGGCAACCCTGGAGCATGCTTGTGCCTTTGCCTTTCCCCTTTTCTCCAGCCCCCTACCTCCTGTCCACCAAAAATGTTACCCTTGCCTTTCCCTCTCCTAAGCTCCAAGGGCCCTCCATAACTTACAACTTTGTTGGTAAAACCTGGTGGTGCCCTTTCGCAATCAACATCACTGGTAACATCTTTATTGCCGTCATTGGTATGATAATCATCTTCGCCACCTTGGCTTGAAAGACCTCACTATTTTCTTTCTCCTAACATCTGTTCGGCTGGGGTGGGCTTTTCTCTCTCTATGCAGACTGCCACACTGTGTAAGCATGGGACGAGTTATTTAAAAGCCGTTAGGGGCCCGTGCTGCTTGAAGACTCCCATGACGGGATAAGTTGATCATGGACCAGGGAAGTTTGCACTAGGCACTCTGCTGACTACAAGGTCCATGTACCCAGGAACACTAAAATCACACAAGGCCCTTCTCCGAGGCTCTCCCCATGGCTCTCTCCCCTGTCAGGTTACTAGTCCCAATGGAGAGAGAGAAGTCCTTGCCTTTTGGCTGGAGGGACACTGTTTTCTTCCCTTTTCTTTCTTCTTAAAAAATCTTTATTGTTGGAAGTATTACAGATGTCCCCTTTTTTCCCCATTGATCCCCTTTTTCTTTTATGTCTGGAGTTGAATTCAAGCTGACTTTCTTTGACCTTTTTTTTTAAATCCTCCTGGTGGAGCTAAAAGTTAAGGGATAAGAGAACCTAGGCTATAGATAAGGGTAAAGATAACTAAGGACAGAAGAAAAAAAATGGCTGGCTGGTTTTTTACTTTAGCTTTTCAATTGAAATTGCTTTCAGAGGGTCTAAACAAAACATTTCACTGCATAAATGAGAGCTTGTATCCATTTGGCTCTGAAGATAAGGGGCAATTACTCCCTCCAGTTCAAATCTCAGGTATTTATAGGTGACTAAGAATCTCTGTGAAGGTGTCATCCCAGGATAAGCAGATAAAACGTTGGTTACCTAGCACTCTGAGTCCTTATGGCTGTATTAGACAGCCAGGTAGAGATATCAAGACACATAAGAGGGTTTGAGATGACTCAGGAAGTGACAGCCCCTTAGAGCTCAACCCACAAACAGCACACTTTCAACCCACTACACAATATCCCAAGAAATCTGTTCAGACGCTACAATCTGGAAAAAAACTAAAATCAACATGGGAAATTGTGCCTCCAATGCTGGAAACTCCCTTGCAGGTATGCAATTAATAGGAAGCCTTTACTTGCAAGTACTTACAGAAATGGGAAGATTTAACTAGAAGTGATAT